GTTAAGTCTGTCCCTAGCCCGTCTCGTGAGTGATCAAACTAAATTAAAATGTGGTTGGGTCGGAAAAGATTTACTGCTTGTACAACAAAAAGTCACTCTTCGAGCTACGGAACTCTATCTATCGGCCGCCATCAGTCTGCTGCATACCCACAGAGTAACGACGCATTTTTAAATCGGCCCCATATTGCTGTTAAAAATTTGATCCCGTCGATCAATGAAACGAATTATTTTTATTATTGTTTCTGGAAACTGACGCCCTGGTTAAATCGTTTTATGCGTTATTTACAATCAATTACGGGAGACGGTAGAGCCAAGAGTCAATGAAAAAGGATAAAATGCACGTTACACGAACAAGGACGTGTTTTTTTATTTACACTGGGGGAGATTGGGGGGTTGTATGAGTTCAATTCGCGTAAGTCGTCCATGGCGTTTGATGTTGCCTTGCCAATCCATACTGGTAATGGTATTTCTTGAGTTTCCCAGGGAAGATTTTGATTTTCAAACTGGTCCAAATGGGATTTGAAGCTGCCGGATGGGCTTTATATTTGAGATTAATTCGAGCAAACAGAAATACTTTTATGAGATTAAGGCCATTTGCTGTGGGGGGAAAGGCCAAGGTAACGGTAAACGCACTGAGACAGCAGATGTGGAAAAATGTGTAGCGCCGTCTAATCTTTCTCAATGTCTTCTCAACTGTTGAAAGGGGCCAGCTGGTGTGGTAACCGGAGACTTGCTACCAAACAATGTCTTGTCAAGAAGTGGGGGTGAAAAATTGTTTGGTTGAACGGACTAGAGTTACTTTTTGGCTCTATAGTGTCCTTGCTTCAAACAAAAGGGGGGGAAAGGAAGGGAAAAAAACTGCCTTCGGTAATTTGGAGGGTGCCTATGGTAGGTTCTTCTTTTAGATTTTTTTACTATCTCATTCTTTTTTTAGTAGTGTCTACAGGTCTTCCTCTGTGTGGTTTATGTTTACCGGTTTTTCTCTTTCCAGCACTGCATGTTTTTTATTGTACCAATGTGCTTATTTTTGTTCTCAAACTTTTATATAGAGTGCATGTACATGTCAACTTCGCTTATTTTCACGTATGATATGTGGGTTCATGTGTAACACAGCCAGTCGTTGGGTCGATGGCGGATGTGGTTTGTTCCTTCTTTCCTATCAGACACATATCGTCCTCATCCCTCCTCCCTCCCCCCATCTTTGTTTGTATGTTACACTCAAGTAACACATAATCTGCGGCACTGATATGACCTGATTGTATTGCATGTACTGTAAAACTCTTACTAAAACTGAACTCAAACAGTTAGTCCTTGGGCACGTCGTTTTTTTTTCTTTCTGCCTCTATGGACATTTTGTCGGGGCCTCGAGCACGTTCACCCGTTCCTGCGGGCATGTTCATGCAGAAACACAAATAAACGCTCGTTGTTCTTCGTTCGTATCTCTTATTGTTCTGCTGCTCCCCTCTTGTTCTGAACATGATACTGTAACCCCCCTCCCCCCACCCCCAACCCAACCCAACCCACCCCCTTTTCTGCCCTCTGCTTGCTCCCTGTTTTCTGTTTGGTATTGATCCAGTTCGCTAAACCGTTTGCTTCATTGGAGCGATGATCCACGAACAAAATTGGTGAGCCTTTTACAACCTAACACCCGATCTCTTTTCATGACCTGAGTCAGACTCGCGAATACGTCAGCACGTCAAAATTGAACTCATTCATTTACATCGTAGATAATTATGAACATAGACTTCACGATGAGAGCGCCGTGAGTTTCGCATGGCATCTCTCATCTTGTCAGAGCGGGACTGTCCAGCAAATAAATGATGAAGCAGGTCGCATTTTCACCTTTTTAAGGATACATATTGCGTTTTTGACTAAACGTCATGTTAATATTCATACTAAGAAACATTATTTGTTTAGCGTGATAAATTACTGTACTGACGACATGAATATATAGCTCAACCTGTGAATCTTTGCTCTCTGTACTATTATTGTGTAGCTACCGAGTCACCGACTTGATGTATAGAGTCAAACGATATCGCCTGACTCGTCCGTCTCATTACAAACAACAGGCACGTGGTGCGCGGTGACTCACCAAACGATTGGAATCAATACCAGCTGCTGCTCGTATATAGCTTATAAATCTTACTTAGGTATATATTTTAGCACATAAAAACGTCCCTCTCCTATTTGATGCGATATAGAGCTGTGTGGGCCCTGTCTTCGTGCGAGTGGGGGTCAGTCTGTCCGCCCGCGAGGGCTTATAATCCCCGTAACACTATCCGTTGTAATGCTGAGCTATATGAAATATAGGTGTAATGTTTGGGACGACGAGGACTCGCTGTGCACCAGAACGACTGGGCTGCAAAAAGATTATTATGGTACAAGTTGTTGATGTCGGATTTGTATGGACTGAGTTCCCCTATTATTACTACTGACTACTATACGACTACTACTACTAGTACTACGTGCAGATCTTCACATGACACCGCTTATTCACATTTGGAGGCATCACACTCAAGATGGATATCTTAGTAAGCAGCGAAGCAGAGCATTTCCAAGGTGGGCCTACTTATGGACTCTGAACATTTGTTTTGCTCGTTTGTTCTGATAACAGCCAGGCTGCATTGTTCAAACAGTGGCAAACTGCACGGTTCCACAGAGATGCTGTCGTTAATGTTGGTTGTTGTTGCTTTTTTAAATTATTCATATCACGTGTGTTTATCGTGCGTACAGTGATGCGTTGTGAATTTGTTCCGATGTCTGTCCCGAAAGCAGAGTGCACCCCGTTCTGAATAGTATTTGCACGGGCTATTTCACGGTAATGTGATGTCGAGGCGCCATGCGCTTCATTCATAAATTATTTTAAAAAATAACCTTTAGCTAGTTTAACGAACATGCCATGCGCACCAGATTTAAATTTTCTCTTTTATTGTCTTTTAAAATGTGTTGTACTTACAACGGAATCTATGTAAGAGGAGAGCGTTGTGTCAGTATTACAGTAACGCTGCCTAAACGTCCCCCTCCCCCCCCCCCCTTTCCCCCCTTCCTTTTCCTCCCAAACTATGAACCCCCATTCCTTTACACTTTATTTTATACTAATCATGAGCCTAGCGCCAAGTTTGTTACCATTGTCAGTGTGAGTGACCGCTTCCTCAAAGCATACACTCAGAGATAAAGTACTAGGTTTTGACCATGTGGATAGAAATAAGGTGCCACTGGTAGTTCATATTTTTCTTCTTTCTCCCTATTATGTAATATATAGACTGTCTTAGTTCACATGAATGAACTTTATTGTATCTATGTGCTTCTCTTTTTTTCTTCCTCAAATAGATTTTGAATTGTTCAGTCTTGAAAATGATATTCTATCTTAGCAGGGATTTGTGGAAGGAGAAAGAGAGGTATTGGGTGGCTGGAGGGCGCCACTGGTCCTACTTTTTGCGCTATCTGTCTTACTTTTTTCTCGGCACCAAATTAAATGACTATTATTATGTCGATGTGCCCCTCTGTACTAAAAAGAAAAGATTTAGATGTGGTCAGTCTTCAAAATGTACTGATCTTACCTGTTTTTGTTTTCCATCACTAAGTGACTATTGTTGTGTAGATGTGCTTCTTTTTACTCAAACAAGCAAAAGTGGAGAGAGAGAGAGAGAGAGAGAGAGAGAGAGAAGAGAGAGAGAGAGAGAGAGAGAGAGAGAGAGAGAGAGAGAGTTTTTCTCCTTTAAAAAAAAAAAGTAATTGTGGTAGTGCTACCTTTAAAAAGTCTCTTCCCAAATTTAGAGGAACTGTCTGTAGGGTTAACATGGGGGTAGGCGAGTTTGACTAATTTTGAAAGAGACAGACCTCCTACTAGACCTTTGCCCTTCAAACTTTACTTCTTTGCACTGAGGCATACGCCACATAGTATAATAATAAACATTTTGTGTATAATGCGATCAGGGGCCAAACCGTTTACATTGTTGCCTGTTGGCGTTTAGTAAGTGACCGCTTCCCAGCGCGCCCGCGGGTGGCACGACGCTCACTATCTATTCTTCTGCTCCGCTATGCCGGCGCAGGCTTTACACTACGTGATTCACTCTCGCTCATGTTGCATCTCTCACCCGCCTCTTCCCTTCTTCGTGGCTTACGTTTCTTCTCTCTCTCTCTCTCTCTCTCTCTCTCTCTCTCTCTCTCTCTCTCTTCTCTTTTTCTTCTTTTTCTTTATAGATTTCATGCATATTATGACGCCGAGCCCCTTTCCCCGCTTTGTCTTTTTACTGTTCTGCCTCTTACTCGCGTGACTCGAGGTCTGTGTGCTGGGGTTCAGGCGTGCCCTTTGCCAAATGCCCATGGGTTTCTCAAGGGAGATTATAATATCTCGTCTATTATAGTGTTTTCTGTTTAGTAAACTGTTTTTTGTGTCGACTTTCGACGCATGTATGAGTGTCCACCTTTCCTACTTGCCCTTTTCACGTTTTTATAAACTTGTTCAGACTTGCGTTTGCACTTTGGTTGTCTTTTTACGGGGAAGGGGGTGCACCTCTCAAGTGCCGTCGAAATATGTTGGTTGTTTTTTAAATTATTATTCGTATATAGATCTAGCTTTTTGGTAAAATGTTAAACTCAAAACATAAACCAAACACTTCCTTTGCATGTGTTTGGCAAAGGTCCCCCCAGCCAAAGGGCGCTCGCGCCCCGTGTATAAAGGAAATGGGAAGATTCTTCTAGTTCTGTCACGAGTGTTAGCTCGAGGAAGATAGTGTTTGCCTTCATGACGCACGGGTCACTAAAGGTTACATTCGTAGCATAACGGCACTAAGCCGACCTTTAGCGAGCGGTTGGTGGGCGCTCTGGTGTGGTGTGCTACTTCTGTCAATATTCACTGTCGTCTTTTGCTACCCTCCTTTTGATGTTTGTTATTCTCTTTTAGTTTTTCTCTTCGGCACCTACATGACCTGAAGTTTTGCAAGTGCCTTAAAACCTCTATCTAGCCAAACCAGCCGACCTTTATGTTATGACCTGCTTAAGCAAAGCAAGGGAGGAAGATAGCTGACATTGAGCAGGTTTGTCCGTCCGTCACAGTTTTTCCATTTCTCTCCACTATTTCACGAAGTTGTGTATTCTTTGCTCAAATTTTTGTCAGAATGCGGCGAATGGCGGAACCAACAAGCAGTCACGGCCCTGGATTCTTCCGTTGTAACGTCCACGGGTTGTGTCCTTCGTCATTGCCTGCATGCTCTTCTTTCCTCGCCATTCCTCTAGCTGGACATTTTTTCATTCCATGTGAGTGAGCGGATGGTTGGCGGATGCTGGGGGGAGATTTTTATACTTTTAATCATCAAAGCGCCTCTTTTTTTTATTTAAAAAAAAAAAACCTTTTCGTGGCTTTGATATAAAAATAAATCAAAAGCAGCCTTTTAAACTCCTGACCTGGTTGCATTCCTGACAAAATTGCACAAGGCTATGAACAATTATATACTTTATTTGAAGCTTTTAACGGCATGGGGGAGTTTCTGGTGGAAGGATTCTTTGAGCTCTTTATTGCTCTGCCATGTATTATTATCTTTGTGATGGCTGTTGCACGCCGAAGACGTGAGTAAGATTCCTGTTTGGGGACAGTTTTTTTTATCGAACATCCTCGTCTCTCTTCTAGAACATCGTATTCCTCTCCGCTCAGACCGACTCTTGACAGACAGCCAAATGCAACATGCCTCCTAAATGATGTAATATGATAATTACATTTTTTAAACATTTTTATAGCGCCCACTCCCCAAATAGGGTCAATGGTGGCGTAAAACGTTTACAACGTCGACCATTATTTTTCCATGTGCCACTCTTATTATATCTTGTTCACTTTGACCCTTTTTGTCGCTTACATCTTTTTCTCTTTACTTTGCGGGTGGATGAAGGACGCCATTGGTAGCTGATGTGTTTTTCTTTCTGTCTGTTGTTTCTATGTATTTGTCTTTTTTTCTCGTCGGCAGGGTTGTAAAACATCTACGATTACTTTAAAATAGAAAACCTAACTAACTTTTCCCTATATTAAAAGATCTTTGTTATCGTGTCTATATACTTCTCTGTACGGTACTCAAAGCTTAGCTTTATGCGGGTTTCAGATGGCCCTGTATAGGGCTGTGTGCACTTTCATTGTCTCTTACTTAGACATGTGCTCTTTGTTGTGTTGTTAGAAGCGAATGGTAAACTCGACTTTTTTAAATATCCTCCCTAAGTTCCCCTACTCCCACTTCCATCCCTGCTGCGTTCTATCGTGATAAGACAGTCGTAATGTCACCCTTTTCCCATGGGCGTTAGCGTCGGCTCACGGGTCCAGTGGGGTGGAGAGGTCTGTGGTAGATCATGTGTTCCGTCCTTTGTCAACCACTGGAATGGTTTTAATGTCTTTCTTTTCCCTGAGCCGGGTTGAAAGATGCTTGTTGTATAAATATAATGTCTTTCTATACGATAACCATCATGTCATCATGTATTTTATTGTAGTCTGTGTACTTAGCTACATCTCCAGAGATGGATTGTTGTTTTAGACTTACTAACGTGTCGCGTGTTGATTTGGTTATTTGCACCTCCAAGAAATCTACCCATTTTCTTTTGAATCGGAAATATGTAAAGTGTGTCATTAAGCATGGTCGACATCCCCACCTCCCAAACACACAGGCACACACAGACACACGCGCACACACACACACACACACACACACACACACACACACACACACACACACACACACACACACACACACACACACACCTACACGTACACACATACACACACACACACACACACACACACACACACATAGAGCACGAAGAAGATGAAGAACAGACAAGAGAAAGTATATGGCGTAAGAGTTGGCAGGAGACACACACTTGTGTCCGCGCGCACGGTGGATGCAAGCACACCTCTTCCTGTGGCCGTTTGTACTGTAAGACAAGATAAATAGCGCATCACATTCCTGTCGTGGGGATTTCCCGTTCACAGCTCTCTCTCTCTCTCTCTCTCTCTCTCTCTCTCTCTCTCTCTCTCTCTCTCTCTCTCTCTCTCTCTCTCTCTCTCTCTCTCTCTCTCTCTCTCTCTCTCTCTCTCTCTCTCTCTCTCTCTTCTCCACCCCCCTCTTTCCCCTCTCACTATCTCTCTATCTCTCTCACTCCCTCTGTTTCTCTCTCCTTCTCTCTCTCTTTCATGCTCGTCTCCCCCCCTCTCTCTATCTCCACCAGTTTACGTTTCAAGTAATACTGGGCTATAGTTTCACGGGGGGCCGTTCCCCTTTGCCCACCACAGCCAGCTCAGCAGCAGCCCTTGGCAGTCCGCTCTGTTCTTTAAAAAAAAAATTATTCTCTTGCACTCGGGCAAATAGATGCGACCCGCCTGTGTGTGTGTTGCCATTCATTTTTGTGTCTCGTGCGATGGACGTGTCTTTGTTACCGCACACACTCCCACAGTCTCTCAGTTTCTGTCCCATTCTGACTCCTGACGATGACAGTCTTTGTTCCTGCGACTTACCTCTGTCACCCCCATCACCCACCTTTTGCCCCACGTAAATGATGAATAAGTGGCGGTGAGTGAAGGC